AAAAAAGCCAGCAGTGGCTATGACTGTAGACTGCAGGTCAGCCGCATAAACTCTTTCACCGCGCGTTGCTTGGTTTTGGCACTCCCGCCTTGTGCTGTTGGAAGAGACTTTGGATCCTGAGCCCAAAGTACAAAGCAGCTTACATGAACGATGTTCCGGAGTTTTTTCCGGCGTCTGTGGGCATGCAGGACAGCAGCCTGCCAGACCCTACAGCAGAGGCTGGCGTTTCATGATGGCAGTATTTGTGGGTCCCTAAAGTAATATCCACATCATCCCCATACAAACTCAAGAACAGCATATGATTGGCTTCCCCAGTGCACCTTCAACCCTAGTAACCTAAGCTGCGCTGAGGGCTGGGGCTGTAAGGCACCTCGTGACTGAGGAACGTATACTCAGCAACTGAGGTACATTTTGTCTTTCACTAAAGGGCCTACGTTGAACCTTAAACCGCAGCTCTACGTTGCCCCAGGCAGAGTCCAGGGTTTTCTGGTTTTCCACCGTCACGACTCGCGCAGGCAGAATTGGCATCGAATGCCGCGGCTGCCTGGCTCTCGGTTTAGGGTTTAGGGTTTAGGGTTTGGGGTTTGGGGTTTAGGGTTTGACAGGGCAGATGGGGTTTAGGATTCAATAAGGTTTCGGGTCTAGGGTTTAGGGTTCCAGCCCGACCCCTGCTACTGCAAGGACTCTGCCTACAACCAGTCGAGTTTTACGTACTTGTTAGGCGGTAGTTGCTACTAGCGCAATGGCTTATGTCTTCTCAGAGGCCCAGAGGGCTTGCAGGGTTCAATTTTGCCGGCTTGGTTTCGGTCGCTCACCGCGCACACAACAGCCCTGGATGGCGTCATCTTAAGAATAGCCGGCTCACGAAGCCCTCGACCCCAAACACGCTTAGCCCCGCCCAAACCCTCAGGCCCAAAACGGTTTAAAACAGCAGCCAGACAAGGTCCGGATCGGCTTCCTCTCGCTCCCTTCGGAGGTGCTCTCCGGGAAAGCTGAGGAGGCCGGGCGCTTCAGGATGCTTTAGGGCTCAGGGTTGAGAGGGTGAAATCTTCAAGGGCGCACAGGTTTAGGGATTCTGCCCTCTTCAAAGCTACCCGAAACCTTAGCCCCTAAACCCCAAAACGGGAACTACGTGCCAAGCTTAGCTAAAGAAGCAGCGCTGAGGCCTTGAGAGAGGGCGCTCCCGCAGCAACGTCGGGTGCGGTGTTTGGGCTCCAAAGAACCCAACCGATGTGGGGGTTTAGACTTTAGAGTTCAGGGGAGTAGTCTGAGGATGAACCAGATCACTACAATGTGCCTGGTTCACGACGACAACGCGTTGCAGGCGCTCGCATCGAAAGTGGAAGACCTGGAGGAGGCTTTGCGCATGCAAGCGAGTGCTGCGTTTGGGGCTTCCAGGCTTTTGGTTTTTGGGTGGCTGAAGTATGAGCTTGCCGGGAACCAATGTAGTCAGCGTGACGATTTTGCAGCCAATGCTCGGGCTTCTGGTTAGTGTTATTTTATTTTACAGGAGCTTGGCATGCTGAAGGTTGCGCTGCGCGCGCAGCAAGAGTCTCAAGAGTTGTGGGGCGTTGCCAGTCTTGGCAGCTTAGCAATCAAGGATCCTATGTGAAGTAGGCTTTCATGGCACTCCGGCGCTCTAAGTCCAACAAAGAGCCTTTGTCTCCGAATAAAGAGTACCTGCAAGAATTTCGATGCGTACAATGAGGACCGTGATTTCAATGCCCCCCCCCCCCCCACCATGTGATACCAAGCACGCAGCCCTCTGGGTTTCGAGTTTGGTTTAGGGTTTCGGGTTTAGGGATCTTTGACATCACAGCATCTGATGTAGATGAACATGAGTCTCAGACGGCTTGGGGCTTAATTGAATCTAGGAGACAGGGTGCGTGAGGGTGGTGTAGCTGTACCTACAGAGAGTTGCTACACGGTGAGAAGGGGAGTATATAATTTGTAATGTGCAGCTTCCGGCCTATGGATGGTTGAAGGTTCTGCCTCTTGCTTACCCGCAGGCCCGCAGTACTTACACCCGAGCACCCGAAGCTATGGAGTTCAACCAGCATGCAGGTCAGTAGCGGTGCCAGCCTGCTGCGGATCTCGGCCCAGGCCTGTTTCGTCCTTGACCGAATAAACCTCAGCCTCAGCACCGATTTACATCTAGACCCTTCATTTTCTTCCTTGCCTACCGCTTGCTCTGGGTCTCTCTCTCTCTCTCTTGATCACATGTCGCAGATTGCTGAGCCTATCTTGCAGCTCACGCTGCCCTGGTTGATCTCAGCGAAGGACTCCTGCAACTGTTGTTTGTGTGTTTTCATATTTTCAGAAAAGGTTGGCTTTGTTCGAAATCAGGGTACGTGCACTTTAAACTGAAGACGCCGCCCTAAGACCCTAGGGTGGAAAACTGGTGCTGGGTCGTGGGGCCCGAAGGCAATAGGAGAGGGCTTCTACTGCACGCAGGCTCGGTGTAGGCTCCCCACCAAGCTTTGGGCGGCCTGCATAGGCGAAAGCTGCTCCCGCGGCTTTGAATTGAATGTCAGGCTTCCAAACGATGCTCTTCCGAACAAAGGAACAGCGCACAAACTACTCGGGAGACCCTCGTACTTGTGTCAAACTCACCGGCAAAGCTCCAGGAGACGCTGCAGCCCCTCCTCGCCCCCTCGCCGGCCGCGGCGCCCGCGGCACCTGCCTCGGCGCCGGCCAGTTCGGAGCCATCCAGCACCATGCAGGCCAGCATTCTTGGATTGCCCCGCGCTGGTGGGGGTTTTGAGTTTAGGGCTTTGGGGTTTAGCGTTGTTTTGTGCTTGCTCCAGGCAATTCCAAACAAGACTCGCCAACCACTCTCCCTGAATCCCAACAGCTCAACCCCAATCCCCTAATCCCCTGACCCCACCACCGCGGCAGTGGGGGAACTCTGGTCTTTGACGGCGCAGGCTGTTGTTTGCTTCAGCGGCCTGCGCGCGAGCTTGGACCAGCTTGGCCTGCGACTGGGTTCTGCCCCTCTGCTGCTGTTAGGGATCAATGGGGAAAGTTTCGGGTTCGCAGGTTTTTCTTTTACGCAGGGTTTCGGGCAGGCTAGCAACCTAGCCCTGAAACTCTCACAGAAGCCCTATAAGCCCTGAACCGCGACTTCGATTCTGAACAGCAACTTCTAGGATTCTAGGAGGCCTCCCGACGATTGAGCAACTTCCGTTTGGTGTTTAGCAGGCTTCCAAATTGCTTTAGACTTTTCTCTTTTTTTACCCTCTCTTTTTTTGTTTACTGTGTTTTTGGGTTTAGGGTTGATCTTGCGTGCGCCCGTGGGTTTGTGGCACGATCTGGGCTCCGTGTAGGGTTCAGTTTCCATCGTTCCCACGTGTGCGCCTCAAACCCTAAAACCCCAACGTCCTCAAAAGCAGTGGAGAATGCAACAGGCCTAATCGCTACTCAAAACCTTCCTAAACCCTAAACACTAAACCCTATAAACCCCAAACCCTATACCGTAAACCCCACTTTTACGAAGCCTGTCATGAAAACCCGCATGAATCCCAGAGGCCCGCTGCGAGTGGCGCGAGGCGCGGAGCGATTTGGATGAGGCCCCGCGCAGTTCGGGGGGGGGGGGGGGGGGGGGGGGGGCTTGTAGCGCTCTGGTGGGGCTTCTAGCTCCAAAGGGCTTAAGCCTTCAAGAACTGTTCGCTACAGGGCTTCAGAACTATAGGGGTCTAGGCCCATTCCAGGGCATCGTTTTGGTTATTTTAAGTAGGTCGGGTTGCATCCAGGGTTGTCGCTGCCTCCGAGCCAACCGTGTCTCGGCCCTGCAACTGGTTCAGTGGCATGTCCTCCTGGATTCCACCCGAGTGTCTAATATAGGGTCCCTTTGATAATATACCATAAAAGCTTCCAAACCCTGCTTACGGACCTTGTCTTGCTTTGGGGTCCTGATTAACACTGCCGAGTCGAGTTCTACTTGCAATCATCCCTAATATGCGGTTCCATGGCCAACATATCCTGATTCAATAGTCGCTGCATTGGGCCCCATAAAGTCATTTCCTGGTCTGTTGCTTCAAATTCCGGTTAAATGCCCGAGGTGCAGAAAGAGAAGAAGCAATATTCCACAACACTGTATATATTTGCCCAGCTTGTAACTACATAAGCGAGCAAGCCCGTTGGGAGTTCTGGGCCAAGCCCTGTACCAACCCCAACGACCTCCCAAACACAGAGTCTCGAGATTTTGCAAGCTTTGCTGTTAGGCACACTTGGCTACGCAACTCCGGGACTGGCTGGAAGGGGGAATGCTTCCCCAAGGGCCTCTGTAATCACGACCCTTTAGAGGACAAGCTGTTTCCAACTAGGTTTCCAATATAGCCCCTTGAAGGATCATGCAGCTGACTTTGTAGAGTCCGGGAACTGGCGTTCCCGCTAGGTTTCCAATATAGCCCCATGAAGTAGAGACTTCGGGAACTAGCGTTCCCACTAGGTTTCCATGTAGCCCCTTGAAGTAGAGGATTCGGGAACTAGCGTTCCCACTAGGTTTCCAATGTAGACACTTGAACAGCTGTCTTGGTAGAACTCGGCAACTAGCGTTCCCGCCAGGTTTCCAGTATAGCTCCTTGAAGTAGAGACTTCGGGAACAAGCGTTCCCGCTAGGTTGCCAATATAGCTTGTTGAAGTAGACGAGAATTCGGGAGCTAGTGTTCCCGCTAGGTTTCCCAGAAAAGCCCCTTGAAGTAGAGGATTCGGGAACTAGCGTTCCCGCTAGGTTTCCAATGTAGCCCCTTGAAGTAGAGAGTCGGGAACTAGAGTTTCCGCTAGGTCAGCTGTCTGAGTAGAACTCGGGAGCTAGCACTCCCGCTAGGTTTCCAGTATAGCCAGCCGTCTTACGTAGAACTCGGGAACTAGCATTCCCGCTAGGTTTCCAGTATCCTTGGCGTAGAGACTTCGGGAACTAGCGTTCCCGCTAGGTTTCCCAGAAAAGCCCCTTGAAGTAGAGGATTCGGGAACTAGCGTTCCCTCTAGGTTTGCAGTGCAGCCCCTTGAACAGCTGTCTTAGTAGAACTCGGGAACTAGCATTCCCGCTAGGTTTCCAGTATAGCCCCTTGAAGTAGAGACTTCGGGAACTAGCGTTCCCGCTAGGTTTCCCGGAAAAGCCCCTTGAAGTAGAGGATTCGGGAACTAGCGTTCCCGCTAGGTTTCCAGTGCAGCCCCTTGAACAGCTGTCTTAGTAGAACTCGGGAACTAGCATTCCCGCTAGGTTTCCAGTATCCTTGACGTAGAGACTTCGGGAACTTGCGTTCCCGCTAGGTTTCCCAGAAAAGCCCCTTGAAGTAGAGGATTCGGGAACTAGCGTTCCCTCTAGGTTTGCAGTGCAGTCCCTTGAACAGCTGTCTTAGTAGAACTCGGGAACTTGCATTCCCGCTAGGTTTCCAGTATAGCCCCTTGAAGTAGAGACTTCGGGAACTAGCGTTCCCGCTAGGTTTCCCAGAAAAGCTCTTGAAGTAGAGGATTCGGGAACTAGCGTTCCCGCTAGGTTTCCAGTGCAGCCCCTTGAACAGCTGTCTTAGTAGAACTCGGGAACTAGCATTCCCGCTAGGTTTCCAGTATCCTTGGCGTAGAGACTTCGGGAACTAGCGTTCCCGCTAGGTTTCCCAGAAAAGCCCCTTGAAGTAGAGGATTCGGGAACTAGCGTTCCCGCTAGGTTTCCAGTGCAGCCCCTTGAACAGCTGTCTTAGTAGAACTCGGGAACTAGCATTCCCGCTAGGTTTCCAGTATCCTTGACGTAGAGACTTCGGGAACTAGCGTTCCCGCTAGGTTTCCCAGAAAAGCCCCTTGAAGTAGAGGATTCGGGAACTAGCGTTCCCGCTAGGTTTCCAGTGCAGCCCCTTGAACAGCTGTCTTAGTAGAACTCGGGAACTAGCATTCCCACTAGGTTTCCAAGCCCCTTGAAGTAGAGACTTCGGGAACTAGCGTTCCCGCTAGGTTTCCCAGAAAAGCCCCTTGAAGTAGAGGATTCGGGAACTAGCGTTCCCTCTAGGTTTGCAGTGCAGCCCCTTGAACAGCTGTCTTAGTAGATCTCGGGAACTAGCATTCCCGCTAGGTTTCCAGTACAGCCCCTTGAAGTAGAGACTTCGGGAACTAGCGTTCCCGCTAGGTTTCCAGTGCAGCCCCTTGAACAGCTGTCTTAGTAGAACTCGGGAACTAGCATTCCCGCTAGGTTTCCAGAATCCTTGACGTAGAGACTTCGGGAACTAGCGTTCCGGCTAGGTTTCCCAGAAAAGTCCCTTGAAGTAGAGGATTCGGGAACTAGCGTTCCCGCTAGGTTTCGCTAGGTTTCCCAGACAAGCCCCTTGAAGTAGAGGATTCGGGAACTAGCGTTCCCGCTAGGTTAATTCGGGAACAGCGTTCCCGCTAGGTTTCCCAGCAAAGCCCCTTGGATTAGAGGATTCGGGAACCAGCGTTCCCACTAGGTTTCTAATGTAGTGTCTTGGTAGAACTCGGGAACTAGCATTCCCGCTAGGTTTCCAGTATGGCCCCTTGAAGCAGAGACTTCGGGAACTAGCGTTCCCGCTAGGTTGCCAACATAGCCCCTTGAAGTAGACGAGAATTTGGGGGCCAGTGTTCCCGCCAGGCTTCCAATATAGCCCCTTGAAGTAAGGAACCCGGGAACTGGCCTCAGCGTTCCCGCTAGGGATTTCGGGAACTAGAGTTGTGCCGAAATATGCCGAACTGTTCCGAGCTTCCCAGTATAACCCCTTAACGGCCCAGCGGCTAAGGCCGCTTTAGATTTCTTTTTCTTTCAGGCGTAGAGGGCTTTGGCTCTGGGCACCCCAAAGCCAGCAGGAAACGACCGTGTTTATCTCCTCGGCACTGCCGCCGGGGCCCCTGGCGGAAAGACGAAGGGGCCGTTATAGGTGATCATGTTAAGGGTTTCGGTTGTGGCGGCTTGGGAGGTTCCGGGCTTGGGGGCGGATGGTGCTTTCTGGTCGTGCGGCCTGACGCAGAAGAAGGTAGATAGGACACGAATGGCTTGGGCTCACGGCTTCCATACTTGCGAGAAGGACAACAAGTGGTTCATGTTGGCTCAGGACGAGAATCACCTAGGCGCTGCCTTGTAATCAAGTCGTCCGAGCTTTCCGCTCACATGGTCGAGGCATCTCCCCCATGCTTATCACGTCGATGGGGCCTTCACGTTGGATGCCCGGGGCCTTGAATTCGGTTGTAGGGTTGGGATGTGGTTGAGGGTTTTTTAGGTAGCCCAGCTACCGTTAACAAACCGCCGTTGCTACCAGCACCACGACGACCATGACGATGCCAACCCCGCCGACTTTCTGCGTGTGTGTGTGTGTGTAAACATGGGGCGGGGGGGTTCCGAGGAAATCAGTGTTACAAGGAAATTCTACTATTTGGGGGTTCTGTGTTAGGGGTCCCGTAAGCCCCATGTAGTTCTCTAGCCTGTGTGTTTTTACGCACACATTTCAGAAGTTGGTTTCTTGCTGTACTGCGAACATTTTTCAACTTCGAGCTCAGAAGCTGCAAGAGCTCTACTACAAAAAAGATGTGTCACCAAAACCTAAAACATCATGCCTTGAACATGTGAAAAGCCATCGTGCTTGCTGTGCAGTGCTGGAGCAACATGTCGCTTCTCGACATTCCACTATGTTCTGTTCCTTGCTTTCACGCAACTCTTGCCACCCAAACCCCCGTATCCTAATCCCTTGAGCTCTGTACACTGTCACGGTTTGGTTTTCATAGACGGCAATGAGCCTACCACTCTTCCACTTTCGACTTCCGCTCTTATTGTTGATTTTTTGCAGTTGTTATACCACCCCTTCGAAGGGCCTTTGTTTTTGTTCCACTTGTTCCGCCGCCACCGTCACCACCGCGCAACAGCTCCGGACACAAGGGTCGAGGAAAGCGTTAGAGAATGTTCTCGCTTTGTGTTTCACAGCGCTTGGACTCTTTACCTGCAACCACCCTCCGCCCCCCCCTCACCCCCGCCCCCCCTTCCCCCCCGCACAAAAGATAAAGAAACTGAAGTACCGGAACCTTATAGTAAGGGTATCCAGGATACAGGGTGGTTGAGGCTTCCTTGGGTCTTGGCTGAAGTCCGAAGGTTTCGAGCGCGGCGCTGCTCCACTGCCCGAGCAAAGGCCGCCCTTGGGGTTGGGCTGGAGTTAGGGCGTAGGGCTTGGGGCTTAGGGTTTAGGGTTCCTGGTTTAGGGTTTGGGGTTTAGGGCTAAGGGTTAAGGGCTAGGGGTTTAGGGAAAGCCTTACCTGCGGGCATTGTTTGAGTGAGGGAAGGTTCATCCAAGGGCAGGTTTTTAAAAATCTATTTATTTGTTCACAGGTTTATTCACGAAATTTTGCTTAATCCACATGATTAACGGCATAGGATCCCACATAGATACTTCTGACTTTGTAAACGCATCGATTAAACTACTACTTGGAGTGATAGCATCGTCACTCTCTTTCTGCTCGACTCCGCACCCAAGAGTGCAGGCACATCTCCCGCCTTGAAGCGTCTCCACGCTTTGGGGCCGGCATTTGGTTTCACGGGACTTTGCCCCCCCCCCCCCCCAAAAACCCCCCCCCAAGGGCTCTTCGGGCTCAGGACACTTAGTGGCTGAGACCATGAACCTGCACCTCAATCCCTGGCTTAGTCTCAGATAAAGGGCTTCAGGGTTTGTATAGTGATTGTCGGAATTCTGGGAGAGGAATCCGCCACAGACCCCTTTTTTTGGGAGCAAGCCAAGCTCTCAAGCCGCAAATGGAGCGTTCCCAATTAGGGAGTCTCTTAGGGCTTTCCGATAAGGTTATTCAGGGACCCCCATGCCTACCATCAGGCAGCCTGAAAACCAGCGTGACGCACAGGGGTTTAGGGTTTTGGAGATGAAGCCCATCGCCTAAACTCGTACAAAATCGGCCTTCTGCGCCAGGTTGCCAGTAAAGCTGGAATAAGGAACCAGATTAAATATGGTGTTCCCGCGCTAGGTATCCAATGTCGCCCCTTAAATTAAAGGACCATCTCTCTTCGAGGGGAATGCGGCAACAAGAGTTCCCCTGCTAGGTAGCCGACGTTCGGGGGCCTAGTGTTCTTGCCTCTTAAAAGGACCACATCGGATTGTAGGAAATTCGGAACTCGACGTCCCGCGATTGATTGCCAATATCGTGAAACTGTTCAAAGCCCACCGATGGCGATGCAGGCCTACTACGCGCTGACTCCCAAGCGCAGGCGGCCTGGAAGCCCGAAAAACCCTGACCTCAACTTCCCAAACTCTAAAGATGAACTCAGCTACAAGACAGGCTTGAGTTTAGTCGTTACTAAAGGTAGGTAGGCTTGAGTTTAGTCGTTACTTTAGTCGAGGCCCCCATATTGATGCAAGATTCTAACAATGAGCAGGTGTACATAACACAAAATCGAACATAATATATATATATATATGTATGTATGTATGTATGTATATATATATATGTATATATATATAGAGAGAGTGTGTGTGTTGATATACAAATAAATCTACACATGCACAGTTCTTTACATGTACAGATATACATACTCATCTAAACTGATCATTTCACAGCGTATAGCTTGTAGACATATACATGTACTCTATATATATATATAAATGCCTTATATATATATATACATATACATATATGACTCTAAAAATAAATGAACACTTGCTCCACAAATATGAAGTCTACAAATGTGTGTGTATGTTTATGTATATGTTTTTATACAACAAAAGGCCTTGTTTCGGAGTCTAGGATTTAGGGTTGAGCGTTTAGATTGTTTAGAGGGTTACATCCCAAAGCCAGGCTTCAGACCGTGTCATCGCTGCCGCTCGGCATGCACCGGTGACGTTTGAGCTGCGCCCGGACTCCACCCAGTGGCCATTGAAGCCTATGAAGCCCCAACAAGGCTCCCCGAGCCTACACAAACCAACCTTAACGCCATGAATCCAAAAATCCAAATGTTCTCCTGAGGAGGTAAACGTCCTCAGCCTACTTGCTTCCAGCCCCCTGGCACTCTGGCAAGCATTGGGGTTTAGGGTTTCGGTTGGGGACGGCGCCTTTTTTTCTGGGGGGGGGGGGGGGGAACTGGCTCTCGTAGCTTTTCGTTTCTGGCGCTCACACAGCCTACATTCCCCTTCTCGATCAGATCACGAGACCCTGATTCCCAATTTCCCTACTACGAACTTGCAGGATACCTTGTGCACTTGACATGCAGATGCGAAATGGGATTTGTGAAGGACACAAAATGTCGTGGTCTGGGTTTTAGCCTGAAGCCTCTCCAAGCAGACAAGTCGCTGAACCGAATTCCTGCTTTAAACGTTAAAGACATTAACAAAAATCACGTTGTATAGCGACAATCAGGGGCCGCAGGGCGACATCTTCGGGCTCTGAAGCTCTTTTTGGCGAGGTTGTAAACTCGAACTCTTCGCAGGACCACGGCCACAAGACTGTTTCGGGTTTAGGGTTTAGGGTCAACTCCCTCTTGTTGGCAGCCCTGGCCCATGTTTTCCTGTGAGCTCTTTGTTTTCGAGGCCCGGGTAGTTGCAAGCTTGGGCCCTGTGCGAAACCCCTAAACACCTAAAGCCCCTAAAACCCCTGGGAAGCCCCGAGAGCCCCAATTCCCTAGAAGCTCCAAACTTTTCCACGCTGCAACCCAGGTCGACAGCCCGGCGTCCCCAAAAATCTCCGACCTGGAGGCTCGCCTCCTCAGACTCCACGGTGCTCTGCGCCCCGCATAGAGCAGCAACCTGGCCCGTGCCTTCCTTGTTCGGTGGGGCCCATGTAGGTCTAATGGCTGTTATGGTTTAGGGCTCAAGGTTTCGAAGCCCAAGTCCTAAGCCGTGTCAGCCGTACTCCACAGTCGCGGCTCAGGGTTCTTGTTTTTGAGGTGGCTCTTCTCTCGACCCTTCATTGTAGCATGCCTGTCTCAGTTTCTTTTTTGCCTACTGGCCTACTTCAAGCTATACTCAGAAATGGGCTACAAGTAGAGGTCTTTAGGAGCCTCGGCGGCTGAAACATCCTAGATTTCCTACAAGGCCTTCCGAAGAGTCCGAGCAGCTTCTCGCGCAAGCATCCCGGAACCCTGAACCTTAAACTTAAACGCTAGCCCCTAGAAGGGTGTTTTCGCATCACAAACCCGCCCCAATCACCAAACCTGAGAATCCGAACAAGCCGTGGGCCGAGAGCTTGTGGCAGGTGACGCTGCATCGTCTCGCGCTGTCCGGCTTCTCAGCCGCTGCCGCCGCTGTTGGAGGCAGACATGCCAACATGCTTGGGGTTTAGGGTTCTTGTTTCTCCCCCCCCCCCCATACTATAAAATTCGCTCATAAATTTGCCCCTGCAAAGCCGACCCCACACGCCAGACTTAAAAGACCCACCCCGTGTATGGCGGGACGTTGGCAGACCAAGGAGGGGGAGAAGGGGATAGGGTTCAGGGATCAGGATTTGCAGGTTTTGCAGCTGGCAGGGCTTGTGGGGGTGCAGGGAAGTTGCATGTCGTTGGTGATGACGTTTTGCAAGGTCAAGGCATGTTGCAGTTTTGGCTTATTTGGGGAAGACGGGAGCGGCAACGCGCGTCTCAAACAAACGCCTGCCCCAATTGATGCCAGAGATTCTAATTGATGCTGGTTCGTGGTACTCGGCTGCGCCTAGCAACGCGGATTGCACTCGAATCATGTGTGCATGGGCTGCATGTGCGGCTCGTATGTCTTGTGAGCCATAACTTGGCGACAAGCCCGAGACCGGAAGCGAAAAGGGAAACTTCCTCTTGCTGCGGAATTCAGCTGGTGCCCATGACTTGAGGGGTGTGTGAGTCCCATAGGGGTTGATGGTTCTACTCATGATCACTCCCTGCCATTCCCATCAAAACCTACACCCAGAACCCTCTCAGAGGGACTCTTTTTACCTTACCTACATGGATTATACCTACTAATTGAGGGGTAGCTACTACTATAGACCCTACATTGAGTCCCAGGTATAATTTCAACCTTCTGTCATGGCCTGGGCTCGCAGGCATCATGGCAGCCGGCTCCCCGGAGAACGAAGGCGCAGCTTGCGCGGGGCGGCAGATGAATCTCAGAGGCTTCGAGCTACCAGGGTACACCCCCAGCATCCAAGATCTTTTGGGCAAACTGGGTTCACTACGCAGGTGCAGAAGGTCAGTAACGCCATCACTTCAACCATTCCCGAACTGAAGCTCATAAGCCACGGAGTGTGTTTTGACCAGTTGTGTGGAGTCCAGGCTGTACCACCAGGCTGTACCACTGCAAGAGCAGCATAGTCCGTGCCTGTTCATGCCCACGTGCGCGTTAAGAACTCCATGATGTGCTTGCTCCCTTGGCCTTGAACACGCGGGCGCGCGTGTGCGCGTGCGAGCATGCGTGCGTGCGTTGGCTTAGGGCTTGCCTCCGATACACCCTAAAGCCGAAACCCTACACCCTAAACCCTGGACCCTGGACCCTAAACCCAAGAGCAGCCATCCAGGCGAAGACGAGGAGGCCTCGCTGAACTTCGAGGTCGTGCTGCCACGTCGACTCTTTGGCTTGTGGGGGGGGGGGGGGGTGAGGATTTAGGGTTCGTAGGGTCTTTTAAGGGCAGGGTCTGAATGGACTTAGGGCATGTGGAGTTTTGTGCCTGGATTTTTGTGGGGGTTTCGGGTTTCGAGGGGTGTCGATGTTGCTCAGGGACTTGAGCGTTGAGGGCCCAGATGCAGCGGTGAGTCCCTTCTCATCTGAATCCTCTGGGGGGGGGGATGCGTAGGATGCGAGGGATTCAAGGGGATGTTGCAACCACATCGGTGATGCTAGATAGTTGGTTGTTGTTTTTGTGGGTATTTTAGTTTGAGTGGTGGTCGCTGATATTTGACAGGTAGGATCAAGCCTTGATAAAGCTAAGGGGGTTCCAAGCGCAAGTCCAGCCCACAACCGGCTGATAGCCTACTGAGATCATCATGCGCCAGGTGTCGCAGCTCAGCAGACCCATTTGCGCTTCGTAAAACACGCCCAAAAACAAGTACCGGTGTCAAACTCTATGCGCTTAAGGTCCTCCTTGGGGCCTCATGCAGTTCAGCTCAGCGCAGTCCTCATATTTCAACCCTCAACCTTCAATTTTCTTGAGAGCTCAACCGGCAGTCGTCTGCCCATCCTTGCCATGCCGGCTGACATGGAGGGGCCCGCACTGATGCTGCTGGCGACGCGGGGCTGCTTGGATGATATCCCTGGCGTGATAAGAGCTTGTCGCCCTTAGCCTTTAGCAAAGCACACACACACACACACACACCCTCTTGAAGCCCTAGAACTTAGAACGCCTGAAGGCGCAAACCCGAGCCTGACTACACAAACCCGACTCTCCACAGGGTTCAGCTGGGGCACCCTTCCGGCACATCCTTGTTTGTAAGCCCAATGCCTGAGTGACCCCCTTAAATCCCTTAAGACCCAAAACCCTAAACCATATACCCAAAACCCTATAAACCCTAAACCCTAAACCCCAAACGCGGATCCTGAGCACTTAGCAACTCCGGGAGAGGAGCTGACATAGCTCCCAGGTTTGGAAGACTTGGCCGCGCAGGCCCGCGATCCCTCCGGGCTTTTTCAGAGCCTGAGGTCATTAGGGTTTAGGGTTTAGGGTCCCTTTTTTGGAAGCCTAAAGTAGAAACCTTCCCCCCAAAATGGCCCAGACATTTGGATCCATCCCTCACTCCTACCTCCCTTCTGACCCCTCAACCCTGAAACCGGAGTCGCAGTTGCCAATGCGAGCCCTGAACCCTATAAACCCTATGAGCCCTAGACACCCTAAGCCCTGAACCCTTAAGCCCGAACTACTCATATTCCAGCTCTCCGGTTCTCAGCAAGTGGAGGCTTTAGGTGCCAATCAGGCTTAAGCAGCATAGGGCTTGCAGGACTGCAGATATCTCAGGGTAGCTGCGCGGTCTCTTAATATGGTCCCTTGCCTTCTTTAAAGGGTTCTGAAGCATGGGCCCTGGGGTTTGTAGAGTATATAAGGGGTATGCAAGGGGTCCCCTTTCAAGGTCATCTCCTACGGGCCTTGTTGAGTTTAGGGTCTTACTGGGGTTGGGGGATACACACCCTTGAGCTAACTAGGACCGGGAGTAGGCCCTTTTTGAGTTTTTTTAGGGTTGGGGTTCCCTTATTATCCCCTTAAGACCAACAAGGGCGCTCTTTTTATTCCTAGGTTACTCCCGGGTCGAGCTAAAGCAACCGTCTCCGTGGTTCTGCAGGCCTTCGCAGAGAGTATCGAGGCAGCAAGGCAGCTGCCCTTCCTGGAGGCAACCGGGTGCTGGTGCTGGAGGTCAGCTGTTGTGTACCCTAAGCCTACGCTGGGTTTAGGGTTTAGGGTTTAGGGTTTGGGGTTTGGGGTTTGGGCTTTGGGGTTTGGGGTTTGGGGTTTGGGGTTTGGGGTTTGGGGTTTGGGGTTTGGGGTGTTCCCGGCAAGAGGAAACAAGCAACAGAGATCAACGTCGACGGCGACAGAGCAACAGCAACAGCTGCAGGCATCGTGAACCATTCTGGGCCCTGCGTCTCGCGCCTGTCAATGATCACGGTCAGTTTATTTGTGAGTCATTCAGGACATACTCATAGTTATGCAACACGTCGGCAATTTCCACGCCCAGATATTCCACGCTTGTGTCTCCAGGGCGCCCGCTTATGGGAGGATTTTAGCTTTTATCCATTGCCCAGCGGTGAAGTCCAGAAAAGCCCACAAAGCCAGTGACAAGTAGCCGCTCTGGCAGGCACATTGTCACAGTACCCAGTGCTGCGAGCCTCTTGGCGTAAAGGTGCTGGAAGCACAATCCCCGACTTGCAGTCCAATCCTGAACACCGAGCCGCATGCGGACCAAGTCCCCTCAACCTTTCCGAACTAACTCAAGTATTGAAACGGCTGAATCTTGGATCCCCTCCAACCCCTCAATCGCTGCCCCCATTTATTCTCTTTGTTTCGGGCTATAATCCTCTTTAAGTCCCATGAAGCCCAAAAACAAGGGCCACCCTCTCCATTCTCAGGTAGGTGGCTGGGGGCAGCCAAACAGCCCCCAAAACCCAAACCTAAACCCGAAACACCCTTAAGAAAGGTCTTGAAACCTCTATAAATTCCAGACCCCAAGCCCCCCCAAAAACCCCCAAAACCCCAAAAGCCCCTCTTGAACCCCACAAACCCTTAGGAGCCCTCTCTCCAAGCCCCAAGGATGCCCCAGAGCTGCCCGCGCCTGCACGCGCAGTCGCGGCGCTTCGAGCGGCGCGGCTCGCCGGCGCCGCCGCACCTGGGAGGAGACGATTGAGGGATTTTTTTCAGGGGGGGATTTAGGGTTTAGGGTTTAGGGTTTAGGGTTTGGGGTCTACGTATGGTTTATCGGGTTTAGGGGCTTCGGGATTTTGGGCTTTCTGTCGGGGTTTAGGGTTCAGGGCTTTGGAAGGGGGGAGGGGGCCCATAGACCTTCATGTGGAATAATGGGGTGTGGGATGTGGGATGCCAGTTTTAGGGCTCTGGAGACTTGAGAGTCCAGGGCTTTAGGATGGCTACGGAGCTGGGCTGCAACGTGGAAGGGCGTAGCCGTTAAGGGGCACCGGTGGACCCTCCTTGGGTTGAAGCCCATACACCCTGACGGATCCTGTCAGACCCTTTTAAGCCCTTCAAGACTTCCGTTGCAGCCCGCCCTTCCACTGCACATACCACTCTACCACTCCGACCCTTTTGACCCTAGAGCCCCCTTCAAGCGGGTAGGTTAAGTCGTATCTCGGGTGCGTGCACACTGGGGATTCGCGAGTTCCAAGGATTGGTCAGAACCCACTTGCACCCCAAGCAGAAATCTCATTGACAAAAATGTGCTCCCCTCCCAGGCGTGCGGTGACAAGTGCGTATTTTGCATGTGTGTCGAGAACATACGCGTGCGGCGCGTGCACATTGGGGGAAAGTCTTCAACATCTGTCTCTGTGCTGCGACTTTACGCGAGGTGATGTGACTTCGCTCGCAGCCGCGTGTCACTGGGGAGATGTGACTTCACACGCCAAGATGTGAGTTAACCTACCCACTTGTAGACCCTAATAAACCCTAAACCCTAAACCCCAAAGCCCTCCACCCTGCAAAGCCAAAGCCCGAAGCCCTGGCCTCCCCAGGCCCAAGAAGCTGGCTGGACTCAGTTTTCCCTTGACTGGTTTAGAAGAGGATTTTTTGGAAACATATATATATATATATATATATACGCACCATATATATATACATATATATATATATATGTGTGTGTGTGTATTCGTATTTGTTATATAATCATATTTGGGAAGATACATATACATGTGTTGACATGTCTGTTCACCTGGGAAAAACCTCAGGCCAGCGCCCTGCTTGCTCCCGCCACTCAGCGGCCGCCTGGGCCTGGAGCTCACGCCTACGCAGGCCTCCTTAAGTTCCATCTCAGGTTTGGGGGGTTCTTGGGTTCTTTGGGGGGTGTCAGGGGAGGGAGGGGGGAGGTGGGAGGGGGAGGGGGGCAGGGGAAGGGACCTGGGGTTTAAGGGTCCTAGGGGGGTTCGGGTGAGTTTTTGCACTTTTGGCCTCAGGGTTTATGCGGTTTAAGGGTCGGGGGTTTGTGAGTCTGCGGTGCGGCCTATATGCTGCGGTTCGCGATGCAACCGTTTGGGTTGCTGTGTGGCTGCTGTGTTTCTTCCACTCATCGTGGTGTGCAGGGTATTGCGAATTCCGAGTTCATTCCACACCGCTGCCCTTCGGGAAGTGCCTAACTAAGGCATAAGCCCTCGGCCTGCGTCTGCGAGACTTGTAAACATTCCGATGGTGTTTGTTTTCGTCGGTAAGCTGCGGTAAGCTTAATTATGTTGAAGGCAGTGCTTTCGGGAAGATCTGCAGTCATCGCGTGACCCCGGGCCTTGAAGCCCTCAATTCCATTAACTCTCTATAAACTCTGAACTCTCAGAAGATGAACCCTACCATTGTACCCATTCAGATCCAGATCCGCCGCGCGACTTCAGCCTTCATTCTCCCTCTCCCTTTCCCTCTCTCTCTCGCCCTCCCTCTCTCTCTCTCTCTCTCTGGCTCTCTGTCTCTCTGTCTGCCTCTCTCCCTCCCTCCCTCCCTCCCTCCTCTCTTTCTCCACCCGGCTTGCAGTTGCACTGAACTCTAAATCTTGACCTCACGTGCACAGCCTAAAGATGGCCCAAGATTCGTCCCCCTCCCCCTCCCGCCCGGGAAGTCTGCAGGTGGCTACGCCACAGGCCGGGGAAGAAGGCTCACCAAAGTCTGAGGGCTTAGCCTCCACCCTAGAACCCTCCCCAAAACCCTATAATCCCCAGAAACCCTGGAACCAGAGTCCCCATGAGGCCCCAAAAGCCCCCATAAATCCCCATAAGTCCCCATAAGTCTCCATAAATCCCCATGGGCCCCATCAAGCATCCAAGAAGCATCCTGAGCTCCTCGTAAAGCCTCCTTGCGAGTCTTGGGCCGGTCCCCAATGTTTTGGATGAGTGGTGCTTGCCTGGAGGGATGAGAGCTC